AACGCCCTGATCATATTCTTTAAAAAAAAAGTCCAGGGCCCTCCCTGGGGCGCAGCGGGCTGGGGTTCAGCACTGCAGGCTTCCGCAGCCGCCTCAATGGGAGTGCCACCACCGCTGGAGTGACCCCCAGGGGGCAGCAGACCCCTCCTGGCCGCCCCCCCAGCAGTGTATTGAGGGGTCTGCTGACCGCCCCCCAGCAGTGTATTTCAGTGGATCTGCCTGTTCCGCTCCCCACTCTGTCTCTGGTGAATCCTCTCTTCCCCCCCAACACCTCTGGCCTGTACCCCAGTTCTGTATGCGTAAATAAAAAAATCTCAAAAAATAAATAAATAAAACCTTAAAAAAGTCCAACTGCCCCCCATAAAAAGATAAACTTCCTTAGACTCCCAGAAAAGAAAGTATCCCTGGTCATTTGATTGAAGTGTTACGAGGGCGGAGAGGAGCTGGCTTTGTGGGGTTTAATGAGCACGTGGGCAGCCTGACAGCCCGCTGCTGCCCTCACGCCCCCGCTGGTGGTCAGACCCTTTCTTGTGTGATGTGCAGTTACCTTCGCAGTTCTCGAAATGTTGGCTGGGCAGCTCTGGGCCTCAAGTGTGTGGGCAGATTTTTCATTTGTTTTAATAGATCCCATCTTGATGTATCTCTGCATACAAGAACTGGGGTGCAGGCCAAGGGGGGTGAGAGGACTCACCATGGACAGAGTGGGAGGAGAGCAGGTGGATCCACTGAAGACGGCCGCGGAGGGGGCAGCGGGGAGACAGGGCGGGCTGCTGCGCCCGGGCCCCTCCCTGGCGGGGGTCACTCAGTGCTGCGCCCTGACCCGCTGCGCCACCGGGAGGGCCCACGTGCGGACATCTTGAGACAGACCGCCGATCGGGCCCCCCAGGCCCCCCCAGGGTCGGAGCCCCAGGGAAAGCCCCCTCCTGTGCCGTCATTGGGGGTCTCCGTGGGCACCCTCAGGCCCACAGGGCTTGAACCACCTGGAGAAAAGTAGATCCGCACACCTGAGCTGAACAGCGGAGCCCTCTGCCCTCGACCATCAAGGGACAGAGGACAGTGAGCAGGGGCCCCCCTGGGAGCCCTGGGGGCCGGAGGGGCCCCTGGGAGCCCCGGGAGCCGGAGGGGCCCCTCGGAGCCCCGGGAGCCGGAGGGGCCCCTCAGAGCCCTGGGAGCCCTGGGGGCCGGAGGGGCCCCTGGGAGCCCCGGGAGCCGGAGGGGCCCCTCGGAGCCCCGGGAGCGCCGGAGGGGCCCCCGGGAGCCCTGGGAGCTGGAGGGGACCCTGGGAGCTGGAGGGGCAACCAGATGAGCTGCAGACAAGTACCCCCAATACGAACAGCTGGGGGAGGGGACATGCAGACCAAACCCCCAGCACCCCCTTTCTCACTAGAGACTGCAACAGTGTGGCCGGGGAGGGGCTCAGCCGAAGGGCGGCGCCCACAGGGAGAGGCCTGCCAGCCGAGGCAGGTCTGAGCCAGGACTGGCGGCCCACGGGGCTCCCCCCCGCCAGGACGGGCGTTGCTCTGCCCGAGGGAAAGACCCGCACCGCAGGGCAAACCCAGGCCGGGAACAGCGGGGCGCGGTGACAGGCACACACACGCCGAGCCTGGCTCGGGAAGCCGAGTGCTCTGCGCCAGGCGGGCTGGACTCTGTCCTGCAGGCCGAGGCCGTCTCTTCAGTACCGTGTGCACCATCTGGGAGCGCCGGGCACAGGGCCCGCCCCCGCCCTGGGGAAGTCAGCTGGGCGGCGCCACCTCTGTGCTTGCGGCCTGGCTGGGGTGCGCTGCTGAGGGGTGCCAGACTCAGGTGTGTTGGGAAGGAGAGGCAGGGGAGGGGCTCCCCAAAGCTCTGGCGAGCATCCACAAGGATGCCCAGCTGTGCCCAAGCTGCCCACGGCCCCAGACCCCTCCATGCGCTGAGCTGAGCCTAAGAACCAGCTACAAGGTGCAAACAGCCTGGGGCCTTTGGGGACACCCCTGGGGTACCTTATCTCAAGCTTATCGCAAGGAGAACCCCAGACCCCAGCCCTCACACCCCAACCTGTGGCAGAGGAAACAGCGCCCAATCTAGTGCTTCCTTCTGCCCCCCAAAGTCAAACACGCAGCCCCTTTTGATGGCAAGGACTTTGCTAACGACCCCCAAAACCAGGACCATGCACTCAGCCAGGCGCCGCGTGGCTACCCGGGGTGCTGCTGTGCCTGGGGCTGAGGAGAGACACAGACAAGGTGGGGATGGGGCCCCAGATCCAGCAGTCCACAGTGGGGGAGCAGAGGGAGCCCCAAAGAGTCAGCTGAGAACCAGCAGGGATCACCAAAGGTACAAGATTCTGCAGGGAAATTTCCAGCAAGCCCAGACACTTGCACAGCTCTCCTAGTCTCTGTCCCCACAGAAGCGGGAGGGTGAAGGGAGGGGGCGCGGTGCTCAGCAGACTCAGATGGCGGGGCTCGCTCTCGGCTCCCCTCCCCGGTGAGGTACTCGAGGTGCGTGGGCTTCGGGCTGGGGGCAGGAATGAAGCTCCCCACGGGGCGCACTGGGGACATCAGAGACTCTTGTCTGTCAAAGAAACGAGAGCTGCCCTGCCTGGGCCCAGCTTAGGACTCCAGGTAAGGGCAGGTGTGCATCGAGCGCCTGGACTGAGGTACCGGCTGAGTCACAGGACTTCGTGGGCCCACATCTTTGGGTGCCAACGTGGAAGCGGGGGGAGGCAGTGCCCCCCCGTTCCTGCCCCCACCCCACCCCTGCAGCTCCCGGCCCACCCCTCAGGCCCGCTTGGTCTGGGGGGACCCTGAGCTCTGACAACAGCCCTCCCAGCCCTGCGGGAGGGGACCTCGCTGCTCTGCGCCCTGTCCTGTCCCCTCCGCCGAAGTCCTTGTCGTGGGAGCCCAGCTGGCAGGGCCGGCCAGGGCGCAGGTCTGGGCCCAGGGCAGATGGGCATGGGGCATGGGGCGGGCGCGGAGAGCCGGGAACAGGGAGGGGCCCGCTGCTCCCGAGGCCACGTGAGGCCTTCCTCAGCTCTGGCCATCTCGCCCACGCCTGTCTGGACGGAGGGCTGTTCTCTCACCCACCCACCTTCCAGGCAGCGGCTCCAAGTGCTCAGCTCTGTCCCTGGGACCCAGTGGGAGTCCGCAGTCATTGCCACAGGCCAGGAGAGGACGCAGCCAGGGGTGTGGCCGCAGGCAGGCCCGGCTGCGAGACAGGGCTGGGGCCTGGCCGCACCTCTTCTCCTGCAGGCCCAGGCGCCCCTCAAGGCTGCTGCCTCCCTCCCCTTCTCCCTTTCAAAGTGCTTTACAGGGTGGTCACAAGATATGATGGGGGGCCCT